GGAGGGCCGGGAGGGGGGACGGGATCGTGCGTTAGCAGGATTGGTTTCAAAAACTGTGCTTTTCTTGCTGAAATTACAAGTTCCAAGTGAAACTGAGGAAAAGCAGACAGCTAAGCACGTAACTGTGGCACTAGAGGAGCGAGCAGTGAACGTGCCAGAGGTGGGCACTTCCCAAAGTACAGCGCAAAGCCTTGGCTCCTCATGGCATACTGCATACCTCGTAATACCGACATGACGTGAGCAGCTGCGTCACCATTTCCAATGCTGTCCAAAAACCAAACCACCGATGCAATATTTCTAGTGTTTTCCACATTGCTCATGCTCTATGTAAGCATAATAAACAGTTCTCTTGGACGCGAGCGTGAAGCCCTACGGGGTCTGCGTACCTGGGTTGTTCACAAATCGAGCCAGCAGCCCAGACACTGCAAGAATGTGGACCGGGAGTCCTCATGCGGTGCCCGAGCAGAGTGGGAGAGGATCAGCAGGTACCGTTCACGCTGGTGAGAGTGGGTCGCGGCTCTCAGGAGAGTGAAACGTGGATGTTCATTTGTGGTGGGCTGCCGCCCTTCGTATCGCGGGGTGCCAACAGACATAAACTGATCAGACTTCAGCTGGTAAGTCAAGTCCTCTCAATTATCTGGCCCCACAGGAATTCAGAGAGCAGATACATTTTCAAAACAGTTGAAAGTTAAAGAAATCAGACATACTAAAAACCCCATCTAAATCCTGGCCCTCCTAAATTAACAATGGTAACTCTGCCTTCCTCTGCTGATTCTCTCTGGGGGTCTCAACACATATAAGCGACTCTCTTATACTAAGCCACACAAATCCACATGGAATAGATACACCTTTCACGCTCCTTGCTGATTTTACAAGAGATCGCAAGAAGCAAATCAGTGATCTTTATCGAGTGATTTATCCCCTTTGGACCAAGAGTATGAGGGCACTGGAAGGTATCCATGTTTCTGATCAACTGGCAAAAGCCCCAAATAAACCCCGTCCCCTGAGGAAGAAAGCTGGGTTTAGAGACATCGTGCTGAGTATCACAACCCAACACTGCCAATGCTGGACCCAGTCCTGCGCGCACTCCGGTCACTGGAGCAGGACCTCGTAACCTTCATGTTGTTAGATTGCAAAGAGAAGTGTTGCGAGGTCTTTGTCCTGCTGACCAAAAAGAGCAGAAGATAGAAGAAGGTAAAGCAAACGTGGCTGGGGCCAGGTGCTAGCTGCCCCGTCCGCGCGGAGGCAGAAGAGAAGAGGCCCCCCGACAGCCAGAATACGGTGTTTGGCCGGGAAGACGGGAACAGGGAGTGCAAATGCAGCCAGGCCCCAGCACAACCCAAGGTGGGAAGGGAGCACGTGCTCCCCTGCACGGTTGTCGCCCAAACCCACTTTTTGGCCCTTCTAGTGAATCTGGAGAAGTGGAGTAATTTCTGTGGCCAAAACCTCTATCTGGGGAGCATGAGATTGTTTTGCAAAAGGCAAAACAGAGCCGTTGAAGTGGCCATTTCTGGGGGAAGGGCTGTGCTGCTTCCAGAGGTCACCGCCTGCCTCTCATCTCACGACTCATTTTTCCCTTCTCCGCGTGGTATCTGTTGCCTTCCCCTGCTGTGGAAGAGGTGACATTAATTTTTTCTTCTTTTCCTTCCAAAATACCTTTCAGCAAAAACGAAAAGCGTTTCAAATGTCAGCAAGATCTGCTTAAACTCTTACAGTCTAAGCAGAGCAGCACTCTGTGCCAAGAAGAAAACTCAGGCACGAAGCATTTAAATGAGGGCTTGGAGCCGCCTGGTGAGTCAGTGGCGTATCGAGAACGAGGGAGCAGGGGTGCTGAGCATTGGGCCTTTGGCTCTGAGCGCTGTCTCATCAAGGCATCTTCACAGCTTCTCCATAACAGTGGCACCCCCCCAAAATGAGGCAAGACCCCCAGCACGCAGCCCGCCACCGCTGCAGCCCTTCCCCGCAGAGTCAAGGATCTGTGCAGCCTTTTCCAGCCCTGCTGAAAGCTGGGGGTTTGGTCCGAGCTCTGCTCGTCAGCAGGCTGGAGATGAGACATTCAGCCCCTTGCAAGGGAATTCTCTGCTAATCACTGGCGATGCCTGGCTGCCAGCTGGCAGCTCCAGGAGCTGGAGATAAAGCATGGCTTGAAACAGACTGGTTCAGCTGAGCAGCTGTGGGATCCGTGTTTGTTCCTCCATACGGACTGGGTTGCTTTGCCATAGAAACCTCCCCATGGAGAACTGGATGTGAATAAATACATGCAAATGCAAATTATGAGGTCCTGGCCTAGGAAACTGCCACTGCTTCTTGGATGAACTCCGACAGGCTGCAACTTAGCTGCGGAGAAACGATCCCAGCACCCCGGCTGCTCGCTGCCAGCTCCTGACCGCACTGGCAGGAGAAGGGCTCTGCGGGAGCACGGCGCTGTGCATCCAGCTCCTCGGCTTGGAGTGCCCCAGTGCCCCCCTGCAGATGAGATGCCCCAGATCCAGAGGAAGCTATTCCATAAAAGCCAGTTCACAAACCAGAGAGGATGACACAGCCCAAGTGAGCCTTTCCTTGCACTGAATGAGAAATCCCAGGGCTCTCAAAGGGGATTAAAGGGGTGAGCTGCTAATTCAGGTCTCCTCGCTAATACCCAGAGGGACCAGCTTTGTGATGCTCCTCAATCAGGGGATTTTGGTGCTTTGTTGCTGGCTGGGGTTAAACCACGACAGTGAACAACGCCTTCCTCACTCCGCCATCCTTTATTTTACCTCAGCCTCCGACCACAGATCCCGGGGTAACCATCTTAGCATGCTCCAGGCAGCAACCTGCTCAGCACGGGGGCCACCGCAAGCCTCCCTCGCTCCTGTGGTGCTGCCTCAGTAACTGGCAATCATTTTGTTGAGGTAAGGATGCAAAAAGCAGCTGGAAGCCCAGGCTTGTCTGATCTATTTTTATTTCACACACTTCAAGACCTGTCAAGGCCCCTCTCTTCTGCACCGCCAGGGCTCTTTTTTCAACTTACAGCTCCTTCCTCATCACAAGCGCTTGGAAGATAAAGGAGTTCGCACTGCTTGGGGCAGGCTGACAGGCTCCTTAGTGGACAGCTGCTGACAAAGGTGCCAAAATATAAATTGTTTCATCTTAAGAAAGCAAACAAGAGAGGATTAAACATTTGCCTTTAGAGATCACTCTGTCCCCCACCAGATCAGGTTTGTTTTGCAGCTCGGCAGAGGCAACAGCGTGTCTCGGTGCGAACCCCTGTCGCCGCACAGCCCAGCAGGTACAACGGCCTTCCAGGGCAGCTGGCAGAAAGCCCAGCCGCCCCAGCGCCGAGCAGCTGGGGACAATCACCAATGGACAAGAGAATCTGTTTTGCAGTTTACTGGCATTAAATAAGTGCTCTTGAAATAGATGCAATAGCTGGCCTAAGGCTGCCAAGTGGTAGTTCACAAAAGAAAATAGGCCGGAACACTCTTAGCTGCGGCCAGCGCTCCAGGAAGCCATGACCGCATCTTGATCTGCTCTGAGACACTAAGTACTCGGTTATGAATCTCTTCTGTCCCTCTCCGACTTGATAGTATTCCAGTTCAGTGATGCCGATGCAAGACCAGAATAGCCACAAAACACAATAACCACGCAGAAACTCCTCCCCAGGAGAAGAGCGAAGAGGAAAAGTGAGCTTTTCTTCCACGTGCATTGCCTCCTTTTCCCAAAGCCCGGCGCTCCCTCTGCTGCATCCAAACCGGCCTCAAAAGCAAGCGAACCACAAAACCCCTGACGTTTCTTTCTACAGCATCAGGTTTATTCAGCTGGCACGCAGGACGTGTCGCAGGCGCGGAGGATAGATACTTTGCTGAGTACTGATCGGCCGGTTCCTCCACTTCTGGGAGGATCATTCCTCCCAGCCCATTTTTTAGGCAATCTGCCCCAGGTTGGATGCAACGATGGGAAGCATTCGGAAAGCTACCGAACAACTGTATGGGCCTTATTCAACCTGCGTAACTCCCCTGAAGCACACGGGGTCTCATCAAGCCCAAACATGGCACAGAAAACTGGAAAAGGGCACTTTCCCAGACTGGCAGCAGCAGCAGCCTTTGGGTCTCCGTGTCAGACGTCCGAGCGGAGCTTTGCTCTTGATCCCCTGCAATCTTTTGGTTTGCAGAGCCAACAGTTTGGTGTGTGCACCTTTGTCTGAACTCTGCTCCAACCGAGTAACTGAATAAGTCAGAACCAAACCGCTCATTTTACCAACAGTTTTTTGGGGTTGTAGTTTTTCAGAATGACCGAATTTCAGAGCAGGCTGCCCTGTGCCCACGCAAGCCTTTCACCGGCAGCGCCCGAGCCTCCTGCCTCCCCACCGCGAACCGCACGAGGACAACGGGAGCGATCGGCCGTCGTGCCACCTTCTGAACTGAAAGGCCAGGAGCAGAACAGGCGGCAGCATCGCCTCAGTTTTTGCATTGCTAATGCCTGTGCTGTTTCTGCCCCTTAGCAATATTATCAGCTCACTGACTTGCCTCTAAACTGGTGGCACTCACTGACTTTCCAGACTTTGGCTGTTTTCAGGAGACCGTAAGAGACTCCCCTGTGGTAACATGCAGAAGGACCCTCTTTGAAGCAGGAGGAAGGAAGGCGATGCCTGGCTCCTACCTGCCACCCCTCACTAAGCAGAAATTAAGCCAAGCCATAAAAACGCAATCCCTAACCACTAACCTCAGCTGTCCCACAGGAGGGAGGACATTTTGCCATCTGGGGACTGGTGCTCTGGAGCTGGGCAGTCACTCGTCTCCTCCGAGCAGGGACAGCAGGACGCGTCTACCAGAGCAGCGTTCTGCGGTGCGCCCAGCACCGCGCTGGGTGCCCGGGGCTGCGGGCGCCTCTGTGAGGAGGGGGGAGGCTGCCCTGCGGGCACAGCCGGCTCCGGCCGAGAAAAGCAGATTTGAGAAAGGGCAAAACACCACACGGCAGCGAGGGGTGAGGGAAAAAAGTGTGAGAAACAGCCCTGCAATGCCAAGGCCAGAGGAGGAAGAGGAGAAGGGGGAGGAAGAGGTGCTCCAGGCACCAGAGCAGAGTCCCCCGCAGCCTGTGGGGTGGCCACGGTGGAGCAGGGGACAGCCCTGAAGGAAGAGCGACCCGCGGGAAGGCCCCGCGCTGGAGCGGCAGAGACCACCCGTTATGGATGGCCACAGCCCCCATTCCCCATCCCCTGCGCCATGGGCAGGGGAGGCAGAGGAGCCGGGGAGGAAGGACTGAAACTGAGCCTGGGAAGAAGCTGGGGGTGGGAAGGTGTTGTTTTAATTTGTCTTTGTTTCTCACTCTCCAAACCTATTTTAACTGGCAATAAATTAATTCTCCCCAAGTTAAGCCTGTTTTGTCCTTGACAGCAGCTGGTAAGTGGCCTCCCTGGCTTCAGCCTGACCCCCCAGCATTTCCCTCTCCTTTTCTCCCCCTGCCCTGTTGAGGAGGGGGAGCGAGAGAGCGGCTGGGAGGGTGCGACAGTCCAGCCAGGAGCTTCAGCACGTCCCGTGGTATAAATCCCTGCCAAGGTTTAGGATTAGACTTCATGTATTTGGAGTCAAATTCTGACGTGAAAAACCTCTAATGAGTTCCCTAGAGCTTCATCCACTTTCTCCATGTCAAATTTGGCTCATTAACTGGAAAAAAAAGGTTGTCGTGAAAACAAAGACAGCACAGCCTAACACACACCCGGCGAAAAGGAAGAGGCAACATTTCCTCCGTGTGCATTCACGCCTCCTTTTCCCAAAGCGCAGCAGTCCCCGCTGCTGTACCCCAACTGCCCTCCAAAGCAAGGGGTGAACGAGACTGCAGGCAAAACGATGCACTCCCGCCTGGTTCTGGAGGGCTCTGATGTGCACTTTTATGGCGGGTTCTTCAAAGAGGAACGATATCGGCTAATGACCGAGCTTTGCAAAAACAGGCTTGCCGTGGAGCTGTTCCAGAGACACGAGACTTACGCAGAAAGGAGCTCATTCAGTTGAGAAACAACAAACAGCAACACCTTTTTGGTTACAGAAGAGTACAAATCTCCACGCTTCAGCTCTGTTTCTCAGCTGGATATTGTGTCAGGGAAAAAAAGCTATTTGCCCTGCAGTTCACTGGAGATTTCAGAAGACTGTAAAGATATCAATAAGCAACCTACAATGCCACCGCATGGTCTATGCATTGCCACGGTCTCAGCTCCGCAGCATGTCTGCTGAGGGCCGTCAGCTGCAGTACTCCAAAACCTCTTCGAGGCTGCGGGCTCGTAACAGTTGTGGCCTGAATTGTGTCGCTAACGGGGGCTAAATACTGCCCACCTCCCAAAACCTCACCCCCCTCCCCAAAAAGCCCAAACGCAACAGCCTCGAGAGCTCCTACTTCTAGATAACAAATACCTTCTTTGTTATTTACAGGCATAAACTGCAGTCAACACATTCAAAACTGGGGTACAAGGCCAAAGCACATTGGTGTTGCAGAGGTCTGTTCTCTTCTGCCAAGTGGGGCAGAGAGGCTTCTGCCCTGCAAACAGAACCAAGCCTCCTGAAAGGAGGGTTATCAATAAGCCCAATCCTCTAATCACCCGCTTTGGTTGCACCTGGGCAGAGTGATTTGCAAGGTGTTCTTCCCACAGTAACCAAGACCATTTGATCGGCGATTTCTCTTCCCCATACCCTTGCAAGGAAAGCAGTATGGCTATGTTGTCAAGCAGCTTAACCTATAAACCTCCAGAACAGAGGCAGAGACTGTAACCTCCGGATTCACAGTCTCACGTCTTTCGCTGAAAGCTCTTCGCCGTAAAGACATTTTTTGCTTTTACCTATCGTGAGTAAACGTGTTTGCCAGAAGCACGGGAATCCACAGCAGGATCGCGCCTGCAGCTGCTATAAACTTACAGGTAACATTCTCTTATTCTCCAGAAGGGAACATCAGTTCATGTCCTTTAAGGATGAAATGAAGGGAGGAATTAAGGAAGGAGGATGAAAATAAATGAAGGTAGCACAGATTCAGCAGACCTTACTGGAATTGCCTAACAAGGAGGACTGATGTTTGTTGCAGGAGAGCAGAGAAATCAGAAAAGAAGGTACAAAGCAGCTGTCACAGAAACAACAACACTGCGCTTTTCCAGATGCCGCTGCGGGACTTCCAGCAAAGCAGCCTGGATATCCCAAGCAGTCCCCACTCCAGCAAGCCCCCCTGCTGTTCGACAGGAGACTGATGCAGGAGGCAACGCCCAGAGACCATCGCTCCTGGGGTGACCCAGCAGTCAGAGCCCTCGCTGGGCCTCTGGAGGCTTTGTCCTGAGCTCCAGGGACGCTGTTACGCCAGCCACGTAAGGATGGGGACTGAGAAGTACTTAGGTGCCCAGCTCATTGGTTTTGGCAGGAGTTGGGGGCCCAAATCTGTCTTCAGATCCTGGCCTGAACCTCTTCGTGGCTTGGTCTCCATCTCCCTTTGTGAAATGCAAGGTGACAACGTCTTTATACCCTGTAATGGTTTGGTAAAGAAAAGCACACGAAAGCAGCGGTCAGGCACTTCACAGCATGGAGCCACGAACAAGCTAAAGGGACACTTCCATGTCACGCACCATCTCCCTGCAAATCCCGGCATTCCCATGGCCTTCCCTTCACGTCTCCAGCCCGGTGCTGTTGATATTCCCGCCGAGTGCCCTGTCCCACTCCCTCTGAACGTTGTAGGCACCGTGGGACAAACCGTGAGGAGTTCTGCCTCACAAGAAGCCGTGGTTTGCTCTGGAGTAGATGCACTGGCATCTCCCCGCTGAGCTGGAAAGAGGGCAAACCCCCAACCAGACAACAGGCTTTAAGTCCCCAGGCAGGGGGAAATGAAGAACAAATTAAATGTTCGCTGCAAGCCGTTCACTAAACAAAAGAACAAGAACAGTGTTTTTCTGCCATTCTTTTCATTTCTCCCAGCATAACTACACATCATCTTGATACAATCTGTTTCTTTGCCAGGGCTTCAGCGTTCTCCCCTGAATTAATGATACTGGAAAATCTCCGCTTTTCTTAGACTCGGAGCAGCAGAGGGCTGCACAATGCTTGCTTACGCAATGACTGGTCCTGCGCCAGGAATAAGAGCCTGTCTGCTAGGAACAGCCAATTCACACAAAACCCAAAATACTTTTCTCACTAAACGTCTGAATTGGGTGGAGTAAAAACATGCCGAACCTACTGGTCATACTGCACACCGATGCCAGCCTCCACACCGAGTTAAACAATCCCACACCCTAGTCTCTGAGGAACAGTGAGCATGAGCAGAGGAGGGTGGCACTTCTTTATTCATTGCCTCCAAAGTACTCCTGACACCATCACGAACTATCATTACAGGACCAGGCAACAACAGGACACCTGGGGCAGCTAACATGCACCCTGATCTGGGAAGGTCCTTGCAGACAAGCGCTGCTCTGGCTACTGCAGGCGCCAGCACGCGGCAGCCGTACGGCAGGTCTTCTGTCCGCAGGCGCGATCGGTCCCTGAGCGGCTGAGGAGCTGGAGAACGGGGTCACCTTTCTTACTTGCAACGTAATCTGCAGCACACTGCCCAAGTCAGCGTTTGTTTCAAGGCTATTCTGGACCATGCTTTAAACGTGGTGTATCCGTATTTCCTCCCAAAGAAACACTGAAGGCAGGAGGGTCCGATAACGTTAGCTTTATCTAATGTGAGAGGAGGAAGACCAGGTCTTACTGTCTGAAATCAGCTTAGCAGCAATAAGGTGCAAGTCCAGATCTAAATTTTTGCCTCAAACACCAAAGAACCCTGGGAGAACCCTTCCTCCATTTTGACCCACGGCTGAGAAATAAGCAACCAAATCATTGACACTTTCTTGTAGACCTCAGAATTCCACCCTTTGCTGCCCTACCAAATCATTGCTACACCGGGATGTTGTCCTTCCATCCTTGCTCACATTTTACTGGCAAGAGGAAACAGGACATCTCTGCTTTAAATGAAAGCTCGCTGTGAAGTTTAAGTAGCAAAGAGACACAGGCTGGACAGTTATCCTGACCACCAGCACCAGACATTCACGTTTTCCACCCCATTCTGCCCTTCTAGAAGAGGTTTTCTGGAGGGCATGGGAGAAATGCTGCAATCCGTGACAAAAAGAAAAGGTGACAAATAAGGGCAGATGTTAAAAACAGCTGCACCTGTCCCTAGTATCCCCCATCCCAGAGGAACGGACGGCTTAAGCTGCCGAACTCGAGGAAGCCGCACGACCCACCGAAGTGCCCGTGCCCCCGGAGCCAAGCAGCAGGGAAACTCGCAGCTCCAAGCAACAGCTGGAGTAGCCTGGCTGCGCGCGGAGCCAGCACCCGGGGGACGCCGACAGGGAAGGGGAAGCAGGTGAGTATTTTCAAGCTGGAGTTTGTAATAACACCGAGTTTATGGGGTTTATAGCAGAAGTCACATTTCTTGCATTTTTTCCTTCCAGAGGGTTCTGGTTTCTTGTATTTCATTCCCTTACCGACAGAGCCATCTACCGGATGAGACATCATTTGTTAGAAGGAAATCTTGATTTCTCACACTGTAAGTGAGGATAATACACACATCGCACGCAGGATCTTCAAAGCAGCCTGTAACAAACTAGGATATCGGTTAGTCCGGTCAGAAATTGCAAAGTGATACGTTTGTCCTGGCTGGGGCTTAAATTCCTACCGATGGGAAACTTCAGCCTTTTCAACGCTAATTCACAGCATCTTTCCGAAGAGGGCAAACGGTTCACCCCAGGCTCAGCCTCAACCTCAATTCACAGTGCAAAGCTTTTTGTTTATTCAAAACCCAGCGCCTTCTTCAAAGCTGACGCGGATTAGAGATGTTACATGTTTTAAATAAAGCTTAAAACCTAAGGTAACACTGGTTGGAAAAAAAACTGTAAAAAAAAAGTTTCATTGCTGTGTGTTCAGCGAACAGTCACAAATATAGATGGTGAGAAACATCAGAAGGGGTAGAAAATTCTTAAAGGAGACAGATTGCAGAGTTTGTTCTGGCAGCCAGACCTCCTGGGGAGGGCTAGGGTTTCTTTCTGAAATCCACGGCTGTCCCCGGCCCTCGGTGCTGCCGAGTGCCACACCAGCTCTGCCAGGGAAGAGAGGAGACCTCAGCGGCGAGAACAGAAGCTTGGCACCGCACAGGAAGGGGGAACAGGGACTTTAGAAAACGAGAACAGGTGAGGCAGTCGTCATTACTGGAAACAGCCCCCAGCAAACCTGCTACTGCCAGGCAGCTTTGATCTGCTTAAATAGCTTTTCACCATTACGCCCTTTCGGGTTGCCCTTGGTGTTTCCAAGCCTTTGCCATCCCAGTAGCGGTCTGTGGTCAAACTGTGGTCCCGTTTCTGCCTGCCCCTGCGAAGCAGCAAGCATCTAACCGTCAGAAAAGGCTACGTGCTATTTAACAGTCAGAAGGAAACAGCGGGACGCAAAGCCAACGGGCCCGATTTGCAGCCTTGCCAAAACATTGAATCTCTTCCAAAAACACTTGTAGTCAAGCCCCCCATCTGTGGCTTACTCCCTTTTCCACATATTAACAGTTCTTTTTGGAGGCTTTACAGAAAAAGGAAGCGGAGCTCTGAGGCCTGGGAAGCGCAGGACAGTCCCGGCACAAAAAGCCACAGCAATCCACGCCCTTCGTTTCCTCGCCAGGTTACGGGGAGGCCCAACAGAAGCCAAAGGAGCTCTGGCAAAGCGGTTTCTCTTTCCTCGACCTGGGGGGTACGCCTCTCCCGTTGCTGACCGAGGTAACGGTACCTCCCTGTCGCTCGCTGTACGCTAGCCACGGCCAGGATGACACCCGGTAAGCAGAGCAGCTTGCCATCCTTCAGCACACCCCCCATCCTATTCTAGTTTATATTTATGGCAATTAATTGTTGCACTAATCAATCTCGGGTTTCTCTGAGGCGTTTGCTTTGGAAGTGAAGGCAGTTCTGGCTGCTGCAGCAGCATCCTGTAAAGTCTCGCAGCAGATCCTTGGCTGGAGATATAAAGTACCCACGTGTCGCACTGCTCCTCTTCCGCCTGTTCACGGCAGCGCAACTCCGTGGCACAAAAACTCCGACCTGATTAGCGACACAATCACAGCCTGATGTATTAAAAGCAATAAAACCCAGTTAACAGACTGCAAATGAAAGACCTCTATTTCAAATGGCCGTAACACTGCCTGCGAGGGAAGCGGGCACCTTGCGTACCACCCCTCACCCCCCAGCACCGCCAGCGGATGGCAACAGAAATCCCATCCCTGCCCACCGACCCACGTCCAGAGACCTCGGGATGCCACAAGCAGGCAGCTCACTGCTTACCGCGACGCCCCGTGGTGCAGCCACAGGTGGAGTTCTTTTCTCTGTGCTAAAAAATGCCAGTCGCGGTGGGCGTCTGGTATAAAGACTCAAACCGGACTTCAGCTCCACGTTGATTTTAAGACTGGCTTTCTCAACAGCCTCATCACATTCAGAAGCCTCGACTTAAGCACGGGGAGGAAATTCTGTTAAAACGTCCCCTCTCCCACAGCAAGAGCTAGAACCAACCCGATTATTAAAGCGTTCCAAGCAATACAAAGGGCTGTTACTACTAGTGAGTAGGAAGGCCGCCGTTTGCCTACAGAGCGGTGCAGGTTTACTTGCCTGTATTTTGCGCAGGTAACGCTCAGAGCTCTGGAAACGACCTGAGCAGCTGCATCGGTCGCGACTGAAGACCAGCACATTTCCACAAGGAAGCGTTTCATGTCATTACTAAAGCCCCAGCTTGCTCATTTGAAGTTGGAAACACCGTCCTCAGGAAAGCGCGGCTGCTACACGCCCGTGACTCGCATGCCATGCTTCGAAGCAGGGCTTTGCGACAGCTGTCTTGTCACTTGGACGGGTTCCTCAGTCTCGGCACAGGACAACGCTACCATGCTTTATAGTCAAGCTCAAGCCTATCTTAAACACATTTTGAGGAGGTTTCTAATGCAAATATTTAGGATCATTACTATCCAGAAGGACACGTAGCAGGGTTTTTCCAGTGGGGTGAGACCAAATACAGCTTTATTTACAAACAGTTCAACAATTTAATACATTAGTTCAACTTTCGCGTCTGCACGCAAGGGAGAGTCTTCACAGCATCGGAGCAGAAACGCAAGACTTGCTGTTCTGTACACGCACAGACTGATAACTGATCGTATGCAAGTATGTGATGAGGTACAGAAGCGTTACATTTAAACATTTCAACCACTGCAGTCAGCAGAACAGCCACGCCATACTGTTAGCAGAACAAACGAAGCCCCAGCTCCATCTGGCTTCCCGCAGATCGGCTGGTGAGCTACGTGGCTGCGTGTAGGTGTTGAGACCAAAAGCTAAAGCTGATCCTGAGTTTTGTTCAGAAGATTAGCATTTGTATGGAGCTGTATTTAATGGCTAGCCATTTATAAGACTTTCCCCGTACACCTGCGCTACCTTTCAAATTTACAAAACATTTCAAAATTTATCCTTGAAAACGCCTGTTTTATATTCTGTCGTCTTTTCCCAGGCAGAGGGAAAAGCTACTACGAGAGTTAGAATAGGATTTTTCACTGCAGATACAGACTCAGGCTATCAAAGCTGTGTGCTCCTAACGAAAAATTCTCCCTGTATCCAAAGAGAAAAATAAGAAAAGCAAGTATACAAGCTCGACGTACAGATCTGAAGGTGGACCTCTACCTGTTGTAGGGCCATAAAAAGCAAATGAACATAGCGCTTTGCTTCTCAGGAAGCTGCCTCTGTTTTGCTGTATTTTCCATAAATGCAGCTGCTAATATGACTTTAAAACGTACTATTTAAAAAGTCCTCATCAAGAATGCCTTCTAATTCTTCAGAGAATGAATGACAACAGGGCTAAACAAGAAAAAGCAAGCACGGTGATCTTTAAAGGTCAATGCATCACACAAATACAAAGTAGCCAAATCTAGATATGAAGTCCGCTGTTTTCCAGACAAAGCTATTTTAAGTTTGAAATCAACCTACAACGTACTTGCCCAAAAGGAGTCCTGTCATGTAAGAGCAGACAAGTTTTTGCCAGAAACATTTATTAAACAAAACCGATACCAACGCGCATGTAGTCAAGTTAATACCCCCTAGTAAAAAAAGCATGTCGGTCAAGACCAAAATTATCTTCGCTTCTGGAAGATGTTGCCACGGCCCATACCACGGCCTCTTCCTCTTGCAGCCACTGAAGAAAGAAAACATCAGGGATTACACGAGTTTGACATCATCACACAGTTATGTCAACAGCTGAAAAGCAAAACAAACAGCACTCCAAGCCTCTTGCTTAGAAGCAAGGAAAGGAGGCCATCCCATCAAGTTCGGACAGTGGCACGACGGCAAAATGTTTTCTGTGAGAAGAACCAGAACTAACGGTTACGCAGTCTTGCCACTTCAAACAGATGCAGCGATATTCAAACATTTCATGTTCCTTCTAAGCTGACACACAAATTGTCTAGCCCAAGAGATCTGAAACCCTCCGTACGTTTCAGCCGATGTTACTCCCCCACGTAACCTTACTGCATTTGCTGAAGTTAGCCAGGGCCTCTGCGGCCCACCGCTATTACTCAGTCTCGTTATAACTGGGTTGTTCCCCTGAGAAAGGTACAAGTGAGAGTGAACTACAGAATAGCTAATAATGACAGCTTCCCAGTCGTTTAAATACCATCTTAATATCTGAATTTGTTTTTCTACAAAAGCTTAACAAGAACACCCAAATCCTTCCCTAAGCATTCCGAACAGCTGGAGGCCACAATCACTGGAAAACAGAAGACACAGTTTTACATACAGCCTCCGTTGAACGAGGCTGCTCCCTGTACCTAAGCTATCGTAGCACCAATATTACACACTCAGGTAACTGGGCAGTTTGAGTCTTGACTCCCGCCATAGGATGAAATACACAGAAAAACAACGTATGAACCAGCCATCGTTCAGGTTCTTGCAGCTCAGGTTTCCTCAGCGACAGAGATGACAGTTTTCCCGTTCTTCTACAGCAAAACTGGGGGGGGGGGGGGGGGGGGAAATAATCAAATTGTACGCACCTTGGGCTTTGAGAATAGCTGCTTTTCCTCGCCCAGCTCCAGAACCCTGGTTTTTATTCTTCATGCTCTTTAGCATAGGAGCGTTCTTCAACATGTCTGGTAAAATGAGAAACCGTATCTTGCTCCCTCTGATGTACACCTGCTCGAGCTGCGCCACTCGCCCGTCTCTGTACGTCACCGTTATGTTGGACATCTGGAAAGCAAAGACCAGTCAGTGCCCACAGAGGCCTCCAACGCGGTTCTGGGCTCCTGCTTCCCCTGCCTGCAAGACATACAGCCAGGATGCAAGCACCAAAGGCAAAGGCTTCCCAAGCACACTGCTTTCGCAACTGGAGCTGTGACACAAGGCAGCCAGCACCATTCACACACGCTCCTACGCCTGCTACTATTCAAGCGGGCCCAGGACTTTTGCTTTCTCCCCAGTTTGCAAATTGTTTTTTTTTTATCAGCTTTGTTATCTCATATTGAATCCGTTTTAATAAAGCTGTTCTAGTCCTAATTATTAAGGAAGCATTTTGATTTCAACAATGACTCGCCTAAAGTCAATCAAAATTAAGCCTTCTTGGAATGACTAAACTAACATGCATTAAAAAAAGCTTCAGTTTCTTAAATCCAAGTTTGTTTGTGCTTATGCTCGGTGACTTTACATAAAGAACTCCAGCAGAAGCGTTGTTCACAGAACAGAACCTTAAGAACCCTGATATTATTGAGAGGAATGCCCAGTCTGACTCTAAAACCAGAAAGAATAAGCTGGGGCCTCTTTGGAGCGCTGAGCAACGCTGAATCCATCTCACTGTGGTAACACAGCGTACGTGCAGCAGCAGAGTTTTCTTTAGCTTAAGGCTAAAGCCAACGGTCTTCTAATCAAGCTGCCAACCCGCCAGCTACCAGCCTTTCCAGGCGCAGCTCAGAGGGCCTTCCCTCCATCCTCCTGAAGCAGGTGTACCTGACAGTTCATGTTGTCTTCAGCTTCAATGAGTTTGCCTCGGTAAACTTCTCCTGTATTGGTCTCACATGTCACAATATGGCCTTCGGCCTCGTGCAGGACTTTAATCGGCACTCCAATCGACATGCTTGCAGTGCTGTGGCTCTACACCTGCGACAAGAAAAAAAACCCAAAGGACGTAACTACAAAGAAAGCGGCAGGCTAGGCTTTACCTACGCAGCCTGTGATGCTGCCCAGTGTGAGGCGCTCATCTTCTCCCTTGCCCCAACACACCATATGCTTTGACGATGCGTTAATGAAACTTCTCTAGAGAGATGCCCGTGGGAAGAAAACACTTAAGAGATCAGCAAGGTAAGTCTGCCCCCGGCCTCTTCTGACCCAGCAAATTCCCCCGTAGGCACCCGATAACGGGCCGCCTGCGCGGCCGGGCGGCACACCGCGCTGGCGGCGCCCATCGCCCAGCCCACGCCGCAGCCCCGGCGAGCGACCC